GGACTGCTCAACCATGTGTTGAGCATGTGTGTGCACTGTGTGTGCGTGCATGTTTGTGTGTGTGTGCATGTTTGTGTGTGTGTGTGTGTGTGTTTGTGTTTATGTGTGCATGGGTGGACATCCCCTGACACAGCTTCTGCTCCTTCCTCTGCCCACTAGGAGAAGCAACCATGGGCGGGCGTGGTTTGAGCAAAGCTCCCCTCTCTGAGGGAACTGAGACTGGAGGCTTTTACGACCATAACTGTTGCCGCTGCTGCCGCTGCCGCCACTGAAATTTAAGTAATTTTCCCCTAATTAAGCAATTATCTCTAAAATAGCTGCTCTCCCAGCTCCGGGAACTTCTTGTGGAGGTTGGGGAGCAAGAAGACGGGGGTGTAGCATTTGGGAAGCCCCAGATATAGCCTCACCCTGTCCGTGTGTTAGTTCTCCTGTGGAGCTAGGGCCACAGTGTCACCGTGTGTGACAGCTGCAAAGGTGGGTGTGGAAACTAGTCCCGAAGGCTACTCTGTTATCCCTGTGCATGCACGCGCGCGCGCACACACACACACACGGGTGGGAAGTGAGTGAACTAGCAGGCAGCTGCACAGGGGAGCAGAGCTCACAGGGGCCCTGAGAGCTGGATTTTAGGAAGAGGCTGAGAGAGTCTAGGTGGGGTTTATAGGATAAAAGGAGACAGCAGCTCCATTCTATTATCCAGAAGGGACAACTAACTCCCCCATAGTCTTTGGTCGGGGGGCGGGGGCTATGACATAACCCTCTTCTGTGGGCAGAGTATCCTCAGACCCCACAGTCCCTTCGGGAAGCACAAGCCATGGCCAGGACTGGGATTGGCAGGCTGACAACAGGATGCCCAGGAAAACTAGAGAGACAGAGCATGGCCTGGAATTTTCTATGTAGTCCAGGCTAGCCTTGAACTTAGAGAGATCTGCTTGCCTCTGCTACAAGAGTGCTGGCCACTTTGGTTTTTAAGAAAGGTTCTATCAATGAGACCTGGAGCTCACAAGTTAGACTAGGTTGACTGGTCAGTGTGACCCAGGGATTTTTCTGTCTCCCTCCCCTGGATTAGGATTACATACACATGCCACCATGCCTGGCTTTTTTTTTAAACATGATTTCTGGGGGCTTGAACTCAGGTTTTCATGGTCTTGTAGGAAACACGTTAACAGCTAAGCCATCTCTCCAGTCCAGGGTTTGCAAAAAAAAAAAAAAAAAGACAATGGTTGACAGAGATGGAGATGGCCTTTGAGATGGACTTTGCAAGAGGTTGATGGTGGCGGAATCAACAGCACCACTAAGCAGTGGCTTGTTCCACAGTCTGGTGCCTCCACCCCCACCACAGAGCTTCAGATCCAATCTTTCGGGAGCAAACAGGACAACAGAGATATCCTCCTGTCTGACCAACGGAAAACACTGTGGGGAAATGAGGAGCAAGCAGGAAGAGAAAATGGAAAGTCTGGGTCCCCTGGAGGCAGAGCCAGGCAGGCACACAAGCAAGATGGGAGCTTGCTGAACCAGTATTGAACTCCAGTAGGCGGCTCCCTTCCCAAGGTGACCAGAGACACCAGCATCCAAGTCAGTGACCCTCGGGGTTATAGGACACTGTCTGGAAGCCCCAAAGAAATGTTCTCTTGTGGGTTTTCCTGGGGTGGGAGGAGAGTGACTGATGTATCCAGGACCCTGTGCCCACCATTTCCCTCTCTACCAGGCTTGCTTTGGCTTGCTGGTTTACCAAGTGGCTATCCCTTGCTGCTCAGCGGGCCACACCAGGATCTGCTGAGCAGGAGGTGAGGCGGGAAGAGGGCGAAGAACGGAAAGGGCTGCCGTGTAAGTGTGAAGATTGAGCTCGGTCTCCAGAGGCATCAAAAACAAAGCTGAACGTGGTAGCGACTGGATGCCATCCTTGCGCTAGGGAGGCTGAGACAGGAAGATTCCTGGGGCTTGCTAGCCAGCCAGCCTAGCCAATCAATCAGGGACCCTGTCTCTGACCCCATGAGTAAGCACGTGCACATGTGCGCACACACACACACACACACACACACACACACACACACACACACACAGAGCCCCAGAAAGGGGTCTGAAAATCTCTGGTGAGGACAGGGCATGCAGAAGACCTAGAAAGCCCCAAGGCTTAGAAGTCCCATACCCAGAATCCTTCTGGAGCCCTCATCTCCCCTGCACCTGGCCACAGCGGCTGGGCTTCTGTGTAACTCCAGGCCTAGGGAGTCTGCAGCCTACGGTAAATAAAAGCTGCTGAAAGTTGCACTGTCTTTATTTATTCCCTGGCAGTGTGGTGGGGCCTGCATAAAAAGAAAGGGCATCACATGCCGAGACCATAAAAAGAGAGTTTGGTTTTTATGCAGTGGTAACCTGGGGAATTAATTCCCTGCTGGCAGAGGTCGAATGACAGTAACTGAGTGTTAAGCAGGTGCAGAGAGGACCCTGGGGAGGCGATGGAGAGAGAGAGAGAGAGAGAGAGAGAGAGAGAGAGAGAGAGAGAGAG